TATGAAAGAAGTCAATTAACAAAAGTATAGGATATATACTTCTATATTTAACTTCTATACTTCTATACTACTATTCTTAAGGAAAGAACACCATCTCCACGTACATCTACAGTTTTGGAGATTAAAGAGAGTGAAGAGAAGCAACCTCAACGAGAATTGCAAGAACAGTCTAAGCAGGAATTAGAGGAAATGCAAGGTGCAGAAGGAGGTTTTCTGGATGAGCCTTTGCTGGAATCTTCTCCAATCTTGGACCCGGTTCGGATGATTGAAGTTAAGGATCAACGTATAACTCGAGCTCAATCTAAGTTACTTAAACAAAAGCAACAACAACAACAGGAAAGACAAGACAAGGAGGCAGTTAAGAGTACTGCACAAGAGATTGGAGCCATGGGGGGAGCGAGATCGAAGCTTTCGGATGACCTTCAATTATTCTGCTCTTTGCTCCAGAAAGAGGGAGATGATGTTTAAATGTTTATCTTGGAATGTTAATGGGTTGAATTCAGCACAGAAAAGGAAGAAATTATTTACATATTTGAAACAATTTAATAATGATATAATTTGTTTACAAGAAACGCATATCACAACTCAAGATCAAAAATATTTGATAAACTCCAAACTAGGAACACATTTTATATCTTCAACTTCGCAAAAAAAGAATGGTGTGGTTATTTATGTAAATAAAAAGTTAACAGCTAAAGTTATAGAAGCAGATGAAGATGGTAGGTTTGTAGCAATTGAATTGCTTACAGCAAATGGCCAAATTCTTCTGATTGGAATTTATGCTCCCAATCAACAACAGGACCATTTCTATAAGATGTTACATACTAAAATATTGCAATGGGATTACAGATCTATTTTAATTATGGGAGACTGGAATGGAGTAATTGATTCTAAATTAGATAAAAAGAGTTTGGCAAAGTCTAGGATCAGATTACCACAGACCTTTTTTGACATGAAAGAAGATATGGAACTAAAAGATGTTTGGAGAATACATAATTCAAAAGAATTGGACTACACTTTTTTTTCTGACAGACACAGATCCTTCTCTAGGATTGACTTCATTTTGTTGACAGATGATTTACTTGTTAAGACAAAAAGAACAAAGATTTTTCCAAGAACTTTGACTGACCATAGCCCAGTATGGATAGAAATTGAGATGGACAAGGTTGAGAGACGTTCTTGGAGATTAAATGAGAATTTGTTTAGATATGAAAAAAATACAACAGAACTTAAAAAGCATTTGAAAGAATTTTTTGAAATAAATTTGAATAAAGGTACCCCAATTGAAATTATGTGGGACGCAAGTAAAGCTTATATGAGAGGGGTACTTATCTACATGAACTCTAAACATAGACTGTTCCGACAAAAGAAAAGATCTGAACTGGAAATAGAAATAAAGAATAAAGAACAGTTACTTATTAAAAATCCAACAGATGAAAGAATACGTAGTGCTATAAAACTTTTGAAAGACCAATTTCAAATGCTTATGGCGGAACAAGTTGCAACAAACTTACAATATGCGAAGCATAACACATTTTGTAACGCTAATAAACCGGGCAGATGGTTGGCTTACACACTGAGGAAAAAAACAAAGTATACGGACTATTGATAGTATTGATATTGGAGGGAAAGAAATCTTTCAACAAAAATTAATTAAAGAAGCTTTTGTGGACTATTATACCAAATTATATGCCAAAGAGGAGGTGCAGAATGGACTTATAGAAAAATATTTAAACGATAAAAGAGTTACAAAAATTACTGATCAACAAAAGGAAAGAATGAATTATCCTATAACAGAGGAGGAGATAATAGTAGCAATTAAACAGTTAAAAACAGCCAAAGCTCCTGGCACGGATGGTTTGACCGCAGTGTATTACAAAACTTTGCAAGCTGAAATGGTGGAACAACTTAGAGATTTATTTTGCAATATTCAGCAAGGGGGTAAAATACCCCCATCATGGACAACAGCTTACATATCTTGGATACCAAAAGAACAAATCCGTCCTAAAAAACCAGAGAACTATAGACCAATATCTCTTTTGAATACAGATTATAAAATCTTTGCGAAAGTACTAGCCAACAGGTTGATGCCAGTAATCCAAAAGGTGATTCATGATGATCAAGCGGGATTCATCGAGGGCAGATACATGAAGGACAATGTAAGGCAAGTAATAGATTTATTGGAATATCTTGAGAAGAATAAACAGATTCCTGCAGTGCTGGTCTTTTTGGACGCAGAGAAGGCCTTTGATAGAGTGGATTGGAATTTTCTACTAAAGACTTTAAAAAAGATGGACTTTGGGGATCAATTTATACAGGCGATTTCAGCAATTTATCAAGAGCAAAAGGCACAGATCATTATTAATGGAAGTCTGACAACAGAGTTTAAAATTGAAAAAGGAACAAGACAGGGATGTCCGTTGTCCCCACTTTTATTTATTTTAACACTAGAAGTCTTGCTAAATACAATACGGGACTCTAATATCTTGAAAGGTATAAAGATTAGGCAAGAGGATTACAGAATAAAGGCATTTGCAGATGATCTGGTTGTTACCCTATCACAACCAATGGAATCAATAATCTTGATGAAGGACATTATACAAGACTATGGTAAAGTTTCAGGTTTTAGACTGAATCCAAAAAAGACTAAAATGATAGCTAAAAACATGACACAAGATCGTAAACATGAGCTTGAAAGGAGGGCAAGTTTTGAGACTGTACCTAAGGTAAAATATCTAGGAGTTCAGGTTGCAGAATCAAACATGAAATTGTTTCAAAATAACTATGAGGTGTTGTGGCGAGAGGTGCAGAAAGATATGGAGACTTGGAAAAAACTGCAGCTGTCTCTACTTGGAAGAATAGCAGCAGTTAAGATGAATATTTTGCCAAAATTTCTTTTTTTGTTTCAAATGATTCCGGTGCTTAAAAGTGATAAACAATTGAAAGTTTGGCAAACTAGAGTGAATAAGTTCGTCTGGAACGAGAAGAAGCCGAGAGTGAAATTGAAAATTATGCAAGATGTTCCAGAAAGAGGAGGTCTTAAACTTCCAAACCTACAGCTATATTATGATGCAGCAGCTTTAACTTTAACAAGTGATTGGTTTGGAAGTAAAAAGGTTGGAATATTGAATGCAGAAAGTTTTGATCTCGAATTTGGATGGCATGCTTACTTATTTTATGATGACAAAGTTGATAAAGTATTTAAAAGTCATATACTTAGAGACTCTTTGATGAGAGTTTGGAAGAAGCACCGACTCAAATGGGATTATAAAATACCGTTATGGCTGGATCTTGGTCATACTTTGTGGAATACAAATATAATGTCACTCGGGGGTTTTTTATACAAAGAGGTTCTTTTTACAGATGCGGGCAGATGGCAGCTGAAGACATTGCAGACACTGTTGGCCGAAGGGATTAATTTAACTTGGTTACAATATAATCAATTACAATTGAGATGGAAAGAGGACCAAAAAACTGGTATTATGTTGCACGAGGAAGAATTGGTTAGACATATAAGAGAGAAAGGTCCAATGCATATCAAGAGGCTTTATAATGTTTTGCTAGAAAGGGACTCAGAAACTGAATTAGTTAAAGATTGTATGATTAAGTGGGCACAAAATTTTGAAGAACCAGTGATGTTGGAAACATGGGAAAAAATTTGGGTTCAGAATGTTAAATTTACACAGTCGCAGAACCTGAGGGAAAATTTCTATAAAATGTTTTATAAATGGCATTTAGATCCCAAAAAGTTGTCATGCATGTACCCTAATGTTCAGCCAAAATGTTGGAGATGTGAATGTTTGGATGCTACGTATTATCATGTTTGGTGGACCTGTAGGAAAGTTAAGGCTTTTTGGATAAAAATTTGGTGGGTCATGCAGAATGTTTTGAAGAAAAAAATTCAATTCTCTCCACAATTGTTTTTATTGGGTATAGTTAAGGGTTTTACATTGGGTGAAACAAAATTGATATTGTATATGATAACAGCAGCAAGATTGTTGATAGGTAAATACTGGAAGAATGAAGCTTTGCCCACTATCGAGGAATGGACTTTGAAGATGGCCAGTTTTGCAGAGATGGCGAAGATTTCAGCATACTTAAAAGATTGTTCACAAGAGACTTATGAATGGGAATGGAAAAGGTGGATAGAATATGTTCAGAACAAATATCAAACTAGAAAGTATCAAATAGCTTTTATTTGAAAATAATGTATTAGAAATATTTTAATGTAATGAGGTAAAGAGAAAAATTATACAGGGGAGGGAGGGGTTCAAGTTTATATATAAGTGTTATATTAAGGGTTTTTTATGAGTATGAGTATATTATAGGGAAGTCTGGGGGGAGGGGAGGGTTAGGGAGGGTTAGGGAGGTTGGGAAGTCTGGGGGGGGGAGGTGGGGGGAGAAAAGGGGTGAAAATGTAATTGTAAAACTTTTGCAATAAAAAAAAAAAAACAAAACAAAAGTATAGGATATAAAATGAGAAGGAAAATATGTCCTTCAACGGAACTCTACTCCTGATGATGCCATATGCATGTCCATACATTTTTTCCATTGTCTTCTTTTGATATTTTTCATTTTCTACAGCCTTTGGAACTCTAATACTCTACTAACAGTGTACCATGCTTAGCTTTTGTAGATCTGGCAAGCAATGCCATCTAGCTAAGTCCAAAACTCAAGAGAGAGGGGAGAAAGATTCATTAATTACCCAAACGTGGGGAAGTAGTTTTTGAAAAGGAGGGATAACGAGATTATCTCGTTAAGAGCAGCCAGTCCCTCAATCCAATCCAATAATAAACGGTTCTTGCCTTTCCTTCGTCCCAGATGAGAAAGAAAACACAGGAAAATGCACCAGCAGCAATTGGCTGAGCTGGGCGGCTGCGTCAGCAAATACCTTTGCCATGACCTTTTCTGACACCCCATTCATTGACTGACTCAGAAACCCTGCAAAAAGTCCCGCTTTAAGCCTAGACGTCCCATTTTGTCGGCTCAAACCGCTGCCAAGGCTCCGACTTGCGTTCACTCAACGCCCGCAATTAAGCGCGAATTGCCCCCAAGCAAAAGCCAACCCGCCTGCAGAGCAAAGGTATTCGGAAGGCCCGCCATTGGCTACCAGACTTGCAAGCTGCTGGGCTTTGATTGGCTGCAGGGCTTCCTTTGTTCCTTTCCCCGTTGCCGCAGAAGACGGAAGTTTGACTCTACTCCGCAGCAGCTGGAGAGATGCAAAAAGAGTCCAGGAGTGAGCGGTGTGGAGCAATCTCGCGAAACACATTTCCTTTCTAACCACATCCTTCTGTCAGTAAGGGTGGAGGAGGAAGGAAAAAGGCGTCTCTGTTGCAGTTCGTCCCGGAATCTCGTGTTGTCTTGCTGAGGATCCCGACATGGATTTGGAGGGCAAAATCAAGAAGGTAAGAGAACAGTGAATCAGGAAACTGGGTAGTTGGTCAGAAGTTACCTGTCTGCGCTAGGCAATGTGGGAATCCCTCGAAATCTTGTCTTGCCCTTTGACGTAGTCTCAAATTTTGCAACCCACCATTTCAGTCCTTCTTCACCGAAGCCAGAAAATAGTGTTTTGGAAAGGGAAATTGATTGTTTTCTTTATTGTAGCGAATAATTATTTGGTTGGATGGTTGGTGGACTGGCTGTTGATTAGATTAAGGGTGAGAGACTATATGCAAATACTACAATAATACTACAAAAATAATATAATAATACTACAAAAATAATACAATACTATCGTAATTAAATTTACTCAGAAGTAAATCATGTTCACTCCTGTAAATAAAAGTTACATGGAATTATCTACTCCCTCCAACTGAATACAAAATATAAATGGTTGGGGGGGAGGGCTTAATAATGTACAATGATTTCAGTTAGTAATGTTGAAATTAAGTACAGATAGTCTTCGACTTGCAACCACAATTAAGGCCAAAATTTATGTTGGAAAGCAAGACATTTTTAAAGTGAGTTTTGCCCCCTTTCTTGCCAGAGTTGTTAAGTGAATCACTGTAGTTATCAAGTTAGTAACGCTGTTAAATGAATCTGGCTTCCCCCTTAACTTTGCTCCTCAGAAGGTCACAAAAGGGGATCACATGACCCCGGGACATTGCAACTGTCATAAATATGAGTTAAGCCAAGCATTCATATGCTAAGCATCTGAATTTTGATACATGACCATGGAGATGCTGTAACAGTCATAAGTGTGACATTTTTCAGTGCCGTTGTAACTTTGAACAGTCACTAAATGAACTGTTATAAGTCGAGGACTGCCTGTATTTGGCATAAAATTGCATACTTACATATTATCCAAAATGCTATCTGAACAAAGTTGCTCAGGTAAACCCCCAACAAACATAAAAAGAAATCTATCTTCATTTCTTCTGCCTATCTATCCAGGAAGATTTCAGAAACATAAGTTCTTTGGGTGCAAAGACGTTAAGACATATGTTTCTATAATAAATAGACTAATAAATAGACTAGAAATCAACATTTTCTGTAATTTTTGCATTTGATTCTGGCTTTGGTGACTTTAGATGAGCTGTTCTTGTATACCTATTGTAGTTCCAAGACATTAGGTTAAAAACACTGAAATGGTTAAAACTTGTCATCCCTTATTCCAATTGATGACTTTAATTTTGGCTGTATCAGATTGTTACCTGGAGGTGAATCTTCCCAAAGCCAAGATCTTGGAGAATATTACAATTGAGTGAAACTTCTTCCTCTGATGGCAGATAAAAGCTTTGCTCTATTTAGATAGGCGGGGTGAGAAGAGATCGTATGTCCTGCAGAATTCTTTACAAACTATTGTTTACTGCTATTGTTTCTGTAGTGGTTGAAATTGTCAATGGTCCTCAATACAAAGTCTTTTGAAAGGCCTCAGTACTTGGGCCCTTCAACAGAAAAGAATATGAAACTAGGATATGATATGAAAAGATGATATATATAAATCTCAGGCATGTAAACAGCATAAACATTAGATCTATTATATGATTAGACGTCTGGAAAAGCATCTGAACAATGGACTTTGCTACATCAGTTTGCTGCATAAGCTTTTTTTTAATTATATACCTGTGAAATATGATTTTTTAAAAACAGAATTTTTTTATAGAGCACACTAAATGTTAAAAATTTGCAGAGAAAGCTGTTTATTATTATGGCTTGTCAGATATTCCATTTTTATCAACTGTTTCTGGTTATAATAACTAAAGAAAAGATGAGGAATACAATTCCTCATCTCTCTTGAAAATGGTGCAGAAGTCAAATTGAATGTAGAAGAATTAAGTCCTGGGACGATTGGAGTCTTTATATCTCCCCACCCACCCACCCGTTTTTCCTGAAAGAGAGTTTTAAAAAATAATGTATGGGAAACCTATATAGGACCAAAAGCTTGTGTCAGAGGTTAAGAACAGCTCTAATGCTGTTGAGCTATACATGTTAGTAATCTTATCAGCCCTGCTATAGTGGATGATGCTGGGAGTTGTAGTTCCAAAACATTTCGTCATTTATAGATAGTTCACATTAATTATGTAGCCTGTTCCCATATAGAAAAATTTGTAGCCCAAGAGCTGGACACCTATGCAGTAATATTCTCCCCACCATAAAATGGTGCTCAGCAACTGACTGAGATTCAGATACGATGCTAAGACATTATATTTAAAATCAGAGTTTGTTGAATAACTTTTTTAAATGCAAGACTAAGCAGCAATGGGTGGGCTTGCACTTAATTCAAGTGAGATCAAACCAGTTACATTATGATGTAATATTGCTTGTGAACCTCATCACTTTCTCCAATAGCCATCATAGTTAAAGGCATCTATAGTCTAATCCTCCATGAATTTAAAACTACCCAAGTTGTTTACCATTGTTTCATCTTGAGACAGTAGATTTTATTGTTTTAAAATGTGCTTTCTGGAGGAGTATTTTAATCTATCTTGGCTGGATTTCTGTATTCCTTTGAATGTTTTTATTTTTGGTCAGGTCATTCTATTTTGCCTTTTCTCTGTCCAAGTATCCAGAAATTAGATTCATCTTTGCTGTATAGAGCAGTGTTTCCCAGTCTTGCCTATGTTAAATCTCACCAATCTTCTATGAGAGTGAGTCCCGTCCAGCTAGAAACCACAGTTTGTATGCATAATGCATTCAAGGACATATTTTGTTATTAAATGTATCAATTATGGTAATTTTTAGCAATATAACAATACTGTGGAAAATATTTTTATCAAATAGCTGTAAAAATAATGAGTGAGGATTATTTGCTGTTTTAAAAGCTATTTTAAAAGCAGTCTTTCGCTTTTTTAAAAGCAGTCTTCTTTTGAGTGCTAATCAAATATATTTCAAATAATGAAAGAAAACTTATGCAATAACATTTTATTTTAGATGGCTATGGTGGGATTCAGCCAGTTCGCACCACTTCAGGAGAACAGGCTGTTAACTTTCTGAGCAGTTTGGCAAACTGGTTGTTGGAATAAATCATTAGGGCAGAGAACCGGTTGTTAAATTACTTGAATCCCACCATTGGCTATAATGTACTGGTAGGTTTGTAACTATACTGACCACTGCTATGTCAGAAAAATAAGCATAATCATACCTAGTTAATACTTGGGTGGAAAACCTCCAGAAGATTCCAAAGTTGTAGACTAGACTGTAAAATCAAAAATACATACTGCATTAAGGAAATGATAGATTGCCTCTGTTTTGTTATTGAAATGCCTACATTAATATGTCTGTAAAGTCATCAAGGTCAGGCTTAAAGAGACTTGCCTTTATTTATCATCTACCCAGAAAAGGGATGAAAGTAAGCTGAAGGACTGCAAAGAGCAGTGCAGAAAAAGGGGGCTGGTAGAAATCTCTATTTTTCATATAGTGATTTCCCCATGGCAGCCATTTTACAAGAGGAGCTACAATGTGTTCTCAAATCCTGAATGTTCCTATCATCTTCAACATACTTCTTAACCTTTCATCAGTAAATGTCATAGAGTTACATTGTTTAAAATGCCTTGCCTATTACCTGTGAAAAAAATCTATAGACTCACATTGTCGTATTTCATCTAATAGTATGTAATGCAGTGAAGTCATTTTAGATGTATGGAAAGTTTGACAAAAATAAGACATAAATATGACATCAATTTACTGATGTAATCTCAGGGAGATTGTTGATTTTCAACAATAAACTTGAATCATCCCACTCAGGAAAAAATGGGTGGGTCCTGAGCAATAGATGGTTTGGAAGAATAGAGACTAAATATCAATAAGTTTTAAAGGTCAGTAATTAATAAACCCAGTAATAAACCCATTTCTATGGATGTTTTAAAATGCCAGGAATGTCTTTAAAATTAGTCAGATCTATTCCACAAATAAAAGTTTATTTCCATTATCCCAGATTTTATCCCAGAGCTATAATTGAACTCAACAATGAACTAAAGGGCCACCATCAGTGACCTGTTGGACAGCATTATTTGGTCTATTGTGTGGATGTTTGTATGGTTTAGGGTTGGGGAATTTGTGGTGGGTGGGAGTGTTTTTGGGGATTGTTATGTGTGTTGGACCTGGTCTTTGGGTGTTAAGTGAATTTCGTTGTATGGGTATACTGTGTATACACGTACAATGACAATAAAGTTGTTGTTGTTGTTGTTGTTGTTGTTGTTATTATTATACAGTATATAATTAAAAAGCTGTGTCTGTGTTTGTATATAGTATGTTTATACAAATGTGTGAATTTGTGTGTGTATGCACATAGACATTTTATATATACCCAGCATATATTACATCACATTCATCATAAATCAGCCAAGATCAATCCAGTTCATCCTTTATTAAATGCTTCCTGGATCAGCTTTTGTTCCAGGCTGGAGTCTATGTTGCCATCTGTAACATTGGTGACTTCTGTAATATTTGCATGGGAAGCTTACGTAGTTTATATCAGGAAAGAAGAAACTGGCACAGTCATGCGTGTTCAATACATCTGTCCCCCTCTTTTTGGAAAATAAATATTTCTATTCAGATGATAAATCTTTTGACTTGAGGTATATTCTTGGATGTTTGAAAAATTAAAATAGAGTCAAAAATGCAAGCTGGTTTAATCATATAGTACAAGTGCTAGTTAACATATAAGAATAAAGTTGTGACTCCCATTTACTGCAAAGTGCTAGTTGTTCATTGTTTTCACAGAGCTATTCTTAATTCTTCTTGCTTTGTGGCTGCTACCATGGAAACAAGGAAACATGAAAAATCACTATTTTAATTACTCTGAAGTTGGGTTCAGTGCCATCATTGGGTTGAAGTTGAATTCAGTGCAGCTTGTCTGAAGTGAAGCCAAATGAAAACCTATTCTTCTTAACAGACTTACAATTGCTTTAGTACTTTTTCCAGGCAATTGTATAGAAGTGGCATTATCACAAGAAAACCTTGA